CTTCAACTAACATGTTATGACTTAAAATGAATATTAAGCTGAATTTAACATGAATTTACTGAAATGGTTGATCGGTCTTAATACTCGGCCGTGGTACTCGCTACGTGCGAGGCCTACGGCCTTCGGCCGCCTCTCGACCAACAAGCAAGTAACTCAACCGATTTAACTGTACTGATCTTAACATGAATAACCTGACCGGACACAACTCTAATGGTTCGGCAAACACATATCGCACATGCAATGGCCGCGGCGAGCGCCCGTGCGCCGCCGACGGCTTCACGCCGTCTCTCGGCCAAACTAATATATTATCCGACCACTACTGAACAGCTTCATGTGATTACTATACTGAAACAAAATGAAACTTAATCACACGGAAGAACTCAGTTAAATATGAAGTACAAGCCTCGGCTCGCGGCTACCCGAGGCTACGCGCGATAGGCGCGGGGGCGCCGGCTGGGCCATATCATCGGCAAAACTTCACTTTTATCCGACAATACTTGCTTGACTGAACATAATTAACTGAATAGAGGCTAAATAAACGATAAATGCTCGGAACATGTCGGACTGAATTGAACATAAACCGATTATGATCTTACTTAACCTAACCGGACCTAAGGCACGGCTTTCTTCTGAAAATTCCGACAATTATCCGAACATTTAACTCTGAATTAACCTAATTAACCAGGCTATGATCTGAAGAGGAGTTTACCTTCCTGAACGCTCGACGGAAATCGGAATTAAAGCGTAGCTTCTTCTCGCCGTGCGGTACCAAGCTTATGCCGTGCGTTTCCAATGGAATTTGGGAAAATTTACTTATCTTAAGAGCTGCTGGGGGAATATGTATATGCTGATAGTATGTTGCTAAATTAGGCCTTAGGAAACGAGGGAAAATTTCCACCAAGTGCTTTCTTATATAGATGGACGCACGGCATGGGGAGTGACGTTGCTTATGCGTGGCCTCTTCCCACCTTGCCAATTGCTAGCTTAATAAGGGATATAAGATGACTAGTCTTCTTGCTTTTATTCTCTTCCTTACACGTGTACAACTTAAGGTAAGGAAAATATTTGGTTTCCCTCATAAGAAGAAACTCACGGCCTTTTTGAGTGAGAATTGGACAAACATTGCCTTGCTTAAGAAAGCCACGGCTTTTAGTGCTTAATTATGACATTAATCACAATTAATTACTATACTTTATGTTTAACTATTTATTAAACATAATGCTTAATTACCAAAATTATTTCGAACGTAAACGGTACGCCGAAACTCAATTTCGGTAATTCCGACTGAACTTAACTAATTCCGAAAATAATAAACAATAACGTTACTATATCGGAATTAAACGTAATTTATACCGATTAAATATCGGGATATTACAGCTTACGTTCTCACTTTTGCCCCTATTTAGCCTTATTTTCCTCGACTTTATTAAACGCATACGATTTGGCTTCAAATCACGATGGTGCGATGGAATATGTTATCCATATAATATAATAGTGCCATGTTCGAAAACAAGTCTTTCCGG